GTGTCGGGTACAGTAAGCAGGACTATATTTTTCCTCGGGTGCAAGACTTAGTTATTGGTTTATGCACTTCTGCTGCTGAAAGCCCATAAATGTGTATTGGTGTGCAAAACCAACGGTGAGGCACCAAAATTCCGTTACCCAATAAAGACACATAGTTTATTTTAAAAGGTCATTAGATGTACAACATAAATGACTAGGGCTTGCAATGTCTGATTTTATATTCATGGCATTGCATGTGTTATGGGAGTCGGTAAGGGCTCGGGTTGAGTTGCATGTGTGAGTCTCATCTCATATCATGGCATGGCATGGCATTGAGGATTACATTGTTGAATTATATATTCTTGAATAAAGTGATTGTTGCTTGTGAATTGCATGTGAACATTTCATATGCATCTAGGTTAGAGAGTAGCCTCTTTAGGAGATACCTTATTGAGCATAACTCGCCCCTTATGAGGACAATATTTCAGGTACGGAACATGCGCCAATGGATGGCTCTCGTTTGGGCCCTTATTGATGAAAAAAAGCCGAAATGTAGCTTTTAAACTATGTTTTTGTAAAACTAAGATGTCAATTAGCTTTTGGTATGTAAGGTGTGTAAAGGATTGTAATCGAACTCAAATGGACTATGTTTACTATAAAATTGCATGTTGTTATATGAGTATAGATAAATGAACCCGGTGTGATCAATGTTGTATAATTACACAGATTGTGTTTTGGATAGAGCTCCCCGTACAAATGAGACTCTGCTCAAATTTTGTTAAGTTATGGATCCCATTAATAGGAAATAACTGTGTGGTATCGAGTTACACGATATTCAAGAGTATTCCACGGGTTGATGGGTGATTAACGGGATAATTACGGACACTCGAATTATGGGGTGTCACATCAAGAGTGGTGGGAGATTCAACATCAATTTGCATTCCATAGAAATAGTCATCATCAATACATTAACTATGCTAAAAATGTTGTTCTTCACAATTAGTAATAATTATAACATTAGTCAATGCAATAAGGTCATCTCTAATTTCAAAAAAATTGTTAGACTACTTGGGCATTGACTTCCATTTGGTATAGCATAAACGCGCAAAGAGTATTTTTCAATTTTTGTTTGATTGAGTCCTCATATGTTGGATAATGGCAAAATTCATTTGGTGGTGTGAGATCAGATGAAAAATTATAAGGTTCGTTCTCCCAACCATAACTCGAATAATTCGTTGCAACATAATGGTCGGGGTAAAAATTTTCAAGGGCTAATATTGAAATTGATCCTTCACATGCAAAGTCTTGAACCGTATAATTTAATGGGCATTCAATAGTGATGTGCGCATACTCATCACAAATCTCACACGCATTTTCAAAATTTGAGACATTTAACACATTATCATAAAAATTAGGAAACATAACATAAAACACAAACTACAACAAACTATTTACAATCGAGATGGCATACCTTGGCCCACGATAAAAATCACAATAATTGTCTATGTTGTCCTAAATCACCTTCGAAAACATGACGCTTAGCATTCCCCGGCAATGATGCCAAAAATACTTGGTTGCGTTCACCCTAATCTCCAAACACAAACCCGGATTGTGTATATGACTTATATGAATAGATGAGTGTCACTCTTACCTGGGTTCGATGCTAGAAATGGAAAAAACGTGTGTGAATGAAAAAGAGTGTGTGTGTGCAAAAGTTCTCCCCAAGCATAAAGAGACTTGCAATGTCATATTTTGCTTGGAATTGAGTATTTCAAGGTTGCCTCCTCAGGAAAGGAAGGTCAAATTGTGGTGAATGTGATTTTGTAAAGGAATGAAAAGTGTAAAATCTTGTAGTTATGTGTTTTGGTGAGTGGAGCAGTGATAAAAAATGCAATGAAAACAAGGTTGGCTAATCCGAAGAGGCCATTCTAATGGAAATGCCAAATCAACTCAAAATATTCTACCAATGGTGTTTCGGTGCTTGATTGATTCATAGGAAGTGAGGGGCTAATGTGGAAGTGTAGGCTCAAGCATACCCCATGACAAGTCTACGGTGTATCAAGAGCTCATAACCACGTCCGCACTTAGTCTAGTCAAACTAAACACCTTACACTATGAGGAAGAATGAAGGAGAGTTGATTTAGCATACCCAAGAAGAAATCTCCCTTGGATTAGCCAACTAAAAGCTTAGCTACTCATAATAGATGCAAAGATATACACAATGTAAAAAGACATGGTAAAGAAATGAAGATTTAAACTTGTATTAATGCAAAAAGAAGTTAAACTACAAAGACAAATTCATTTCATACACAAAAGTAAAGCTTGGAAGGAAAACCCAATTGTAAACATAGCAGATACAATATGTAGTTAAACTTGAATACACTTGAAATAATGGAGATTAAAGTGCAAGAAGGAAAGATTACAAGTGATTTAAAGCTTACTACAACTGAAATGGAGAAAAAAATGCAAAAACCTAACTTTCTCTCTCTAGAACTTCATCTTCTTTCTTGAACTTCTCTCTCTAAAACTATGTGTGTAGCTTTGGTAGCCTCTTCCTTTCAAAAGCTTGTAAAATATGAATTATGTTGTAAAGCTTGGTCAAAATTCATCCATACCCCTTCCTTGGTTTGTGAGAGCTGACTTCCAATGAGTGGGAAGGGATTAAACACTTCAAGAAGCAAGAACAAGCCTAGCGTACACCTCTCATGCCTTCACCAACCACCTTTTTTCTTTCTCATACCTCTCCCATGCTTTCTCTTCCAAAACTGACTTTAGGGTGTAAGAGACCATCATAGTGTGTCAAAGATGTTATGGTATGGTTAGGATGACAAGAGGTGGACCCCCGGAGTAGGTAGAGTTGTATGGAAATGTGTCTAACTCTTCTGGGCAAAACCTACCGGTAGAAAACTTCCAGTAGATTTTTCTACCAATAGGTTTTAAGGTTCTATCGGTAGGTCATAAGGGGGATGCAAGCATAGGACCAGATTTCATAAATTTGTCATAACTTTTGATCCCACCATCCGATTGAGTTGAAATTTTGAACAAGATAAAGAATATTTAGATCTACAACTTTCATGTTTTTCACTTTTTCAGATTCAAAGTGAATCATGACCAAAAATGTAAAATACAGAGGTACTACAACCAATTGGTGCGAGTGCCGGTATCAAAATTCTAGTAGGCTTAGATACGAGTACCTATGATACCAAGTACCGCTACCTTTAAAGCCTCCTAATCCTCATGTAATGTGTCTATCTCTTCATCACTCATCCACACTTAGTTTCGGGGTTTCGAAAGCCACCATTTACTCTATAATTACCTACAACATCAAAATTTTCACATTATTCAGAAATTCGACTAACTCTAAGTAATTAAATGTATAGTTGAGTTAAAATGCATGTAATGAGGTCATTAAATATTAATATTACAGGCTCATCAATAAGAAAATTTGATATCATATTAATTTCAAAAATATATTTTAGTCGTATATGTATCATATATTTTTTATACAATAAACCTGTATTATGGAGGTATTTTAATACCACCAAAAGAAGTGGTATTATAATTCAACTTCAACGTATTATTCTACACATTTACAATTATAACCCCCAACTGATAAGATCAAGTTATATCAATGTAACAAACACTGATTGAATGTATTTTTGTTAATTCAACATTAATACAATGAAATAATTCCCTAACCAAACAACTGATTGATTTAAATAACTATTATCTAACGTTTTTGTTGTATATTGTCAAACACTAGATAAAATTAAGTATTATTCTAAAGCCCATGTTTAATCATATTTTTTGTCCGTCTATATTGTATTAGACTGGATTATTTTATCTATTTCATCCATTTTTAATACGGCAATCAAACATGCTTATAGTGTTTTTTCTTAAGCCCAAAAATAATAAAATATAAAAGTGACACATGAAAATGAGCCTAAGTTCAGTGTGTCCATTGTAAATATATTTATTATTAGGAAATTCGTGCCTGAAAGTACGGTACAATATGAATAATTTTAAAAGGGATGTTAATAACCATTAAATGAGTCTATTTGAGACCATCTCATCTTGATTTTATACAGATTTTTCATAGAGATTTTTACTTATAAAAATACAAAAACTCATACAGATTTGCATTCAAGAAAAACTAGAACCAATCTTCCAAATACAAAACCCACACATAAATTAGATCGAATTCAACTTGACATCCACAAACCTAAGTCCATTTATAACAATAACTAAAACCCCCATACTACAAATTGAATGATCTACTCAACTTGACGTCCATATTGAGATCAAATTCAAGTGAAAAAAAATTGAAGAATAATAGAATTCCAACTCAAATTCCCAGGTCGGTGTAGATCACATTCCAATTGATTTCAAATTTCAACTTTCAACTAAAAAAGCATTGGCCCAAAATAGGGAAAAAAAATCAAAAGAGATGAGAAAGTTTACCTGCCGGATGTTGCTGCCAAACGATCAGATCTATTGCTGTGACTGAGACTATTAAAGGATGAGAAAATAAGCCGAAGAATTGAAGAGTCTGTGGGATAATCACCCATAGATTGTGACTGAGATTAGTGGACTTCCTATCCAATGTGACGTTTGGTAGACAAAGAGATGGAGATGAGATGAGATGAGGCGCCGGAGTAATAACTGAGATGTGATCGCCGAAAATGATCGTTGAAGATTAGCGAGTCAGCTGTGTGGTAGTCTGAGAGAAAGTAAAGAAAGAGATTAGTGCAAAAATGTCCAAGACGCCGGGTTTTTATAGGTTTATCCCACTCGTCCAGTTTTATCAAAATTGTCTAATTTGACGAGTTTAACTAAAAATCGGCCGATTTAATGGTTTTTAAGCGTATTTGATTCTTGAACGGTCCAACTGTTGAACCGGACCGGTTCACTGCATTCTCGGGTCAACCCTCCGGCCGGGCCAGATGTTAAAAAAAGTGCAGTTACCCATTCTTAATTTCTCAGTTTTATTCATTTTGTTTATATTTTTATGTCTATCTCAGCCACTCTGTATTTTACGCGACACGATGCAGGCAGACAGGCTGAGATGCCCACTACAACGTTGTCCGCCGGCGATGCACAATACAACGTTGATGCTCACTCTCAACGTAAGATCTGTACTCTCACCTTGTCGTTTCCACAATCTTCAGCGCTATCCAATAACTCCCTTCCTCTCATTCTGCTCCTCTCTCGCTTCTATCACTCATCTCTGTCCCCATCATCATTCCCAGAGCCATACATCGCCTCCAAGTCCAGAAATACCAAACCCCATCCTTCTCAATTACCTAATCGACTCATTAGGATTCCCAAAACCCCGAGCTTTCTTAATTTCGAATCGCTTTTCATGGATCAAAACCTCTGAAAAACCCCAATCTGTTGTCGAATTCTTGAAAGATGTTGGATTATCCAATACCCACATTCGATCTTCAGTTCATGTCACTCCTCAAATCCTGGTCTCCGATATCGAGAAGACCCTTAAACCAAAGGTGGAGTTTTTCCTAGAACTGGGTATTTCTGGTTCTGAATTTGGTAAGTTCATTTCCAAGAATTCCTCAATTTTAACTAGTAGTTTGGATAAAAAGTTGAAGCCTTGTATTGTAATTCTCAAGAAAATTCTTGTAAATGGTGATAGAAATAAAGATTTGATCCGGGTGTTGTGGCGGGGCTGTTGGCTTACTGCCAAAGACCCTCAAACAAGATTGTTGTCCAATGTTTTATATTTAGAGAGTTGTGGGATAGCTGGGTCTCAGCTCTCAATGCTATTGAAAAGGCAACCTCGACTCTTCATTATGCGCCACTGTGATCTTAAAAACCTTGTTTCTAAGGTTTTAGACATGGGTTTTGTGTTGGAATCCAGAATGTTGGTTCATGGCCTATATACTGTCAGCTGTATGAGTAGTGACAGATTTATGAAGAAATTGCATTTGTTTCAAAGTTTTGGGTTCTCAGAGATTGAATGTATGGACATGTTCAGGAGGACACCGGGGTTGCTTAGAACGTCCGAGGAGAAGCTAAAACTTGGAATTCAGTTTTTCATGAATAACATGAAGTTTGATAAGACAGTGTTAGTTCGTAATCCAACATGTTTAATGCACAGCATGAAGGAAAGAGTGATCCCTCGGTACAGAGTTTTGCAGATTATTGCCTCAAATAGGCTGTTGAAGAAACAGCCTAGTTTTATTACTCTACTGATGTTACCAGAGGTGGAGTTCTTGGAGAAGTTTATATCAAGGTTTATAGATGATGCTGAGCAGTTGTTGATGGCTTATAATGGCCATGTTTTGGATTTTTGTGAATAATAATAATATAAATGCCATATTTATCTTATTCTTTTGATATGAGCTTCTGCACTTTTGAGCTTGAAATCATGTTTTTGTCCACACACCTAACTAACTTCTTGAAGTCTTGCTCTGAGAGTCCCTTTACAAATAAATGTACCATCAGAAGTACAGGAAAATATGGTTAAAGCAGTAAAAAAGGTTATTTAGCATCGACACATATTTGCAAGGGAATATTAAATCATGTATTTGTTTGAAACTCCCAATTATGGGCTTGCTGAAATTGAGAGCAGTTGAATTTTAGAATACCGAATTGCGTGCTTATGAAAACTGTACTTGTTGCTAACTATGCAAGTGCTGGAGAAGATCTGTGGAGGATCAAGGTAATTTGATAAACGAAGTTGAAGCCTTTATTGAAGTCGATATTCATAAATCCCAATGATGATAATGGTGAAGTTTGATTTGCAGTTTGTGGCAGTGATACTGGGTAGCTACCAGAAACCTTAATTGACATTGTTATCAAATGTTTGATATCTATTGTGTTGCTGGGGTTGTTTGCTCTCATTCTCAATTCTCTTGAGGAGGCAACCTTGGTTCTTCATGATTTGTTGCTCTAGTCTTAAGGAATGAATGCATCGACAGGTTTAGGAGGATGCTGAGATGGATTAGGACATTAGAGGAAAATTTAAAGTTGCTTATTAAGTTCTTTTCTAACACCTTTGAAAAGATGGTGGTTGTCCATCCTCCAACATTTTCAATGTATAACATGGAGGAGAGAGTGATCCTTAGAACCCCAACTTTTATAGAATAGGAAGCTGCAGAGGCTGTTGCAGAAGGAGCTGATTTTTATTAATGGGCTGAATTCACACAGAACTTAGAAATGTTCATATTGGGTTTAGAGCGTATGCCAAGGACTTGTTTGTGGTTTACAAAGTTGTTTTTTTGGATTCTTTAGAAGGATAAGGATCTGAATGCAAATTTTCTTTACCCCACTGACTACATTTCAGAGAATTGGGAGTCTGTTTACATAAGCAGGTTTTGGTGGATGATAATCAATAGCAGAGTGGTGGTATTGAAATCAGTGTCATTGTGACTGCCAAACAATTTTGGTACAATGAGTTTAAATAGTCTTTGAATTCAGGATATTTTGGGTTATGTGGTGTATAGAGTGAAGGTAGCATATTAGGATGGAAGTCTTCATTGGGAACACAATGGTGTCGTCACATGCACAAGGGGGCCTACACTTTTGCTGGAATTCCTAGTTTTGTAGGGCAAATCAATTGTCTTTGGATTGCTCCACAACATGCCTGAGGAATATTGTAGTTCCTACCGCTCTAAAGTGATGAACTGAAATCTCCAAAGGATCAAGGTAATTCAATAGAAAATTTTATTTGTAGGATGAGGATTTGTTTTAATTAAGTATACTTGAGTTTTCATGATGTTGTTGTGGTGAGATATCACTTTTGGAGGATTGATGTTTACTTGCAATGACGAAGTTTTGAAAGTTCTGTCTGGTGTATTAGTACGGAAAAATTGTTGGAATTGTACTTAATTTTATCAAATTTAAAGAAAATAGCTAGAATCTCCCCAGCATTTCGGCTACCACTTGTCAGGTGCAGTCTCAGTCTGAGTCTGGTCCAACACAAACTAGTTGTTGTGGTGCTTGTAAGTTGAGAATGAAATCATAAAAAGTTAGGAAATGATAGTTTAAACATTTTTAAGTCTTGACGATCTCATAAAAAAAAAGTATTTTTTTTTGTTTTATAAGAAGTGTTTGAGAAATCTGCCTTTTAAATATGTTCCAACATGATAATCTGTTAGAAAAAGCAGAACATTATTACTCTACTTTTTCTCTTTGTTCAGTTTTTTTTTTTTAAATTATACTGTCCTTCCTTCTGGTTGTCTCCCATTTATGTATGCATTTTCGTTGCCAATTTAGAAGTGGTTATTGAGCGGAGAGTTCAGACCTAGAAAATTTTTGGAGCGTAGATCTGTTAGCCCACCATTCTTTGCCCTAAAAGTTCTCATTTAAGTGAAAATCATTTCGGGCTAGAAGCAACAAATGGAGTGCTAACAGAGCCACCCTTCTCGAATTGGAAAAATCTATATAACTTTGACTTTCTGCTGTCCTAGACTCCTAGTCCTACAAGTTGTAAGAGTCTAAAAAGAGAGTGATGATCAGCCTAAATTAATGACAAGTCCATGATATTTAGCCAAGAATATTGTTGTCATGGAGATGTGGAGTTGTTTTTCACTTGATGTGCATTTCCCAAGATACATCATGAGCAAAATATTTGCACACAAGTTAAAACGAAAAAGGAAATTGACATTAGGGAGATACTACAACTTAGTGCTAGAGGCTGACCAAGCCAACCGTACTACACGCCAGTTGTACACTTTACACTTTAATACAGAATTTAATACAGATTGAGGTCCTCTTTGTTACAGTTTCACTGAAGTTACACTCAATATTAAATCATTTATCGTCTATGGAAGAGGGGTCTACTTATAAAAAGTGATTCCTACTTGAATGTATGATAAGTGATCTATCATTGGGTGAAAGTTCAATGGAGAATATCTGAATTTCTTTAACAAATATGGGCACAACTTTGATAGCAACCAGGGCAACTAGAAGATCTCACATTGGTTGATGAGGTGTGAATTTGAAGTGCTTGACAAGACAGACTTGAACTTTCGAGCTTAGTCCAAAACGTGGCAATATTGTACGATGCGGCTCAAAGGGCATTACACCAGCATTTTGTTATCAAATATTTTATTTTTAACTTCTATATCAAATGAAGTCTCATTAGCTTGTTAGTTCATCCAATAATGTATAAGACTGATCATGTCAGAGAACGGAAACACCCTTGGTTGTTTCTGTGACCTAGTTTTCCCGGTATGCTCAATAGGGTAATGCCTAACATGTGAGTCTTCAACATATTTATTAATTGTGGCAAGGCAATCCCAGATAAGTTCAATCCAATTGGTGAGATACTCGAGAATGGTGTCCGATCCTTCTGTCAAATCTTGGAGTTTTATAGATAATTTGTGGTTTAAAGACTGTTGTTCTGACCGCTCATCAAGGGAGCATCCCAGGCAGCTTCCTCACCAATTAATTCAAAAAGACACAACGCAATAAAGTTAGACACTACCCGGTCCCCAGGAGTTCTTGGTCTGAATTTGGATTTTGGCCTGTGGCCGGAGACCAACTTTGGTGAGAATGTTATAATTGGGCTGGTAGATTCTGGAATTTGGCCGGACAGTGATAGCTTCAAGGACACTGGGATTGGGCCAATACCCTCTTGGTGGAAAGGTGCATGTGAACAGGGAACTGAATTCAATACTTATTCATTGTAACAGGAAACTCATTGGTGCAAGGTTCTTCCTCAAGGGTATGGAGCACTACATGTCTGGCAGATCATTGGAAGGGCTTGGTGATTATCGATCCCCGTGAGATGGAGTGGGACATGGCACACAGACTGATTCAACAGCAGCAGGATCCAAGGTTGCTAATGCTAATGTATTTGTTTTTGCTAACGGCACATCGCAACAAAGGCCAGGATTGCCGTGTATAAAGCTTGTGAGGTTTTATGATCCGAGTCTGAAATTTTTCCTGCCATGGAAAGTGCTATCAAGGATGGTGTAGATATATAGTCTACCTCACTTGGATCCCAAGATGCACCATATTATGAAAATGAAATGGCAAAAGCGGCCTTTGCAGCTGCAAAAAGGAACATTTTGTTGCCTGCTCAGCAGGAAATCTCAGGCCTCATGCATATTCAGTTCATAACACAGCGCCATGGATGACCACCGCTGGTGCTGGATCTATAGATCGTACTTTCCCGGTGACAGTTCAACTTGGAAACAACAAGACTTTTATCAGTTCATCTCTTTAGGGTAAGAAAATCAATACTGATAGCTTTCCACTCGTTTATCTAGGACACTGCAATTGCCGCCAACATGATTCCTCAGAGTGTAATGGGAAAGATAGTAGTTTGCAATGGCAGCAAACTCCAAGCCATCAACGATGAACATTTCATTCAGGAAGCAAGTGGTGTCGGACTGCTTCAATTAAACCATATAACTGAAGGAGAATGGCTCACAGCAATTGCATTGGCTGCTGTAACATTTGGTTACCACGAAGCCTTGGAGCTTGTCTATTATATTTGATGAGTCCAAAATCAACTGGGTCAGGCCCTATTAATCAAAAGAGGCCCACGTCACCTCGGAGTTTAAGTCAACAAGTCAAGGAGGAGCCTAAATTAAGGAGAAGTCAAAGTCAATAAGGAGTTCAAGAGGGACACGCTCAAGGGGACACCCAAAGGGGCGCCGCCCAAGGGGGGCAACCCAAACCCAAGGGCTACCCCAAAGGGGTGCCGCCCAAGGGAGACCACCCCAAGGGGATCTCTGCCTCCTTTGTCCCATGCTCCCTCTCCTGCACAATCTCATGGAGTCATTCGCCCTCTTGACTCTAACACTCTAATTCAAGTCCAGCACCCACCAACTCACGTCTAAGCCCAGGATTCTCCTCTGACTGAATAGGAGCATGAGAAAGAGAATATCAGAATACGCACGGAGATCTAATCTTACCTTATTTGTAAATACCAAAATAGTATAAGTCATCTCTCTCACGTCATCGCCTTACCGTCTTACTAAACCTATATAATGTAAGTCCTCTCCACATAGAGGGCATCACCTTATGACCTTGAGACCTCTACATCACACACACACCTCTCTACACATCAAGTCTCTCTCTCCTCCGAAAGCATTGTAATTCACCCGGAGTGCACTCTCCTGGTGACTTTTATCTATTAATAAAGATCTCCGGCCACCGCTGTCGTTTTCGAGAGTGGAGTTGGTCACCCGGACCAAACCACTATAAATTTTGGTGTTGATTCCTTATTTACAATTTTACCATGGATTGTCTGTTTATTGCTCATTAATTAAACCGTTACATATACTCGACTGTTAATCTTGCACAATACGAATTTGTGCATCGTCAGTATTAACTCAATCGAAAATCCCATGGCGATCTTCAAATATCATATGCGTACTCTTATAGGGAAAGAGAGGCCCCAATTGCCTTGAGATTTTCTGCAAGAGGTCCTTGTCCGATTGTTCCAGAAATCCTCAAACCCGATCTTATTGCCCCTGGTTTCAACATTCTTGCAGCATGGCCTCCTAATATTGCTCCAACCTATTCTTCATTTGACCCAAGGCGAAGTGAAGTTCAAGACAAATTCTGGAACATCAATATCCTGCCCACATGTTGCTGCATTGCTCCATGCTGCTCACCGTAATTGGTCCCCGGCAGCAGTCAGGCCAGCAGTCATGGCCACCTCCACACCAACTGACAATAAGTTTCATTTGATTGCTAGAGATGAAGATTTGGAGCCAGCAACTGCAGTTAGCATCGGAGCTGGACATGTTAATCCACAATTGACTTCAGATCAAGGGCTAATTTACGATGCAGATATATCAGATTACATCAGGTTTTTGGGCAGCTTGAACTACACCGAAAAGCAGATGAAATTTTTTGTAGAGGCATGAAAACGTTGCTCAGGACCTGCAGTTTCTTCGGGAGATCTTAACTATCCATCATTCTCCGTGGTATTCAGGCCTAACAACCCCGTTCAAGAGTTGAAGAGAACATTGATCAATGTTGGGGAGCTTCTGCCAGAGGTGTACAAAGTTGTAATTGTCCATCTAAAGTTAAAAAGGTAAATTTAAGTGTGAAACCACAGAAGTTGATCTTCAACAAATCCTTCGAGAAGCGAAGCTACAAAGTCAGAATCGAGAGCATCTGTCTTCAATAAGAGTGGTACCACTGTGGAACAAATGGCTTTTGGGTCCATTTCATGGGAAAGTGAGAGCCATGTTGTTAGGAGGAGTTCGTTTTCAGTGATGTGGCAACAGTAGTAGTGTTGATTTTGTATTGTTGGAACAAATGAATGTCAAAGTTATGTTGCTTAGCTCAGATAGTGTGCTTCCTTACAGGGGTGGGAATTGATTGTATCAAAGAAACCTTGAGAAAACTTAGCTTAAAAACTACTTTGAATGATATCCTATTTGATTCTAAAGAAGTTGGGGATTTTGGTACTACCTAGACAGATTAGTTGGGGATAACAATCCAGCCGAACCCTTCAATCCCCAGAGCAGTCCAACTAAAATTTTATCAGACAAAACACGATTTGTTCCTCCAACTCAAGTACATGTTTGTGTAACCTTAGTCAGAGAATCTAACTGCAATGATTATGATTCCAAATCAGGAATAGGAACTGGTTTTAGCATTTAACTGACAAAATGACAAGGGGTTTGATCTCTGGACTTAATACAACACCTGAGCCAAATTGCAGCAGAATGATATTTGCTGCGAGTCAGTCGTTGACGTGCTCAACTGCAATTGTTTTCGTGATGTAAAGAAAAATGGGGAAAAACATTATCTACAGCACCTTTAAAGAAGGAAGACGTCCCTCGTTTCTCTGCAATTTATGCCTTCTTTTCAAATTATTTGTTTATTGTATCAATCTTATTCCAACATAACAATATGTTTTGGGGATAATTCTACAACTGCTGAACGTTTTTCTGTTGGCCATCAACAGTATTAGGGGCTCAAGGCCTCTTGCTGACCTACGCATAGTCTTTTTGGTATACACAGAATTTCAGTCTCCTTGGGATGTTATAAAGCTCTCTCTCTCTCTCTCTCTCTCTCTCTCTCTCTATGTTCATTTTTTTTTGGAATAGAAACTGAAACATGATATCTTCAATTTTGATTATCCCCATCATCCGTTTAAGCTTCATGAATGCATCGGACTTAAGTAGCTTGGTAAAAATATTTGCAATTTGATCCTCGGATCAACAATACAAAATTTCAATCTTGCCATTAATAATCATGTCACGAATATAGTGGTACTTCACATGAATATGTTTGGTCCTCCCATGAAAAACTGGATTCTTTGACAAAAACAATAGCTAACTTTTTTATCACAAAAAATCTTTAAAGGAATTTTCTGTACATGCTGTACAAATCCAAGCAGACAACGCAACCACACTGTCTATGTAGCATTACTAGTGGCTACATTGTATTCTACTTCAATAGTAGATAAGGCAATAACTTGTTGTTTCTTTGAAGACTAAAAAAAAATTCATGAACTAATTTGAAAACAATACCTTGAAGTACTTTTGATTTTTTCCACATTACTTCCCCAATCACTATTTGTATACCATAAAAGTTCACAAGAACCAGTAGGAGAATAGAAAAAATACCATCACTCTGGTTACTTTTAAAATACCTCAAACTCTTTTTTGTTGCTTGCAAATGTGATTGATGTGGAGACTCCATGTACTTGCTGAGAAGTCCAACTCTAAAACAATATCAGGTCTAGTGGAAGTCAAATAACGTAGACTTCCCACCAACCATTTGAAATATGTGGCATTCATCATCTCACCATTTTCATCTTTACCCAATTTCAATCTTTCTTCAACGGGAGTCAAAATAGGATTATAAGAATCCATTATAAACTGTTTAAGGATATCCTTAGCATACTTCTATTGGGAAATAAAAATCTCACTGTCTATTTGATTAACCTCAATCTCAAGAAAATAGGATATCAAACCCATATCAGTCATCTCAAATTGAGAAATCATTGCCTCCCCGAATTTTCAATTAACTTCATATTATTCCCTATGAAAATATAAATATTCACATACAAACACATAATAATAATATCTTCATGAGAATTAGTTTTGACATACAAAGTGTGTTCATAATGACATCTCTGAAAACCATTCTCCACAAAATAAGAATCAATTTGAGTATACCAAGCTCTAGGGGCTTATTTAAGCCCATACGAATCCGTTTTCAACTTATAGACTTTGTTTTCCTCCTTTTTATTCACATAACCAACAGTTTGCTCTATAGAAACTTCCTCTTCCAGGACACCATTCAAGAAAAGAGATTTCACATCCGTTTAAAATATCTTCCAATAATTGTTAGCAGCATGAGAAATAATCATATGGATAGTATCCAGCCTAGCAATAAGAGGAAAAACCTCAAGATAATCAATACATGGTTTTTGTTTGTAATCATTGGCTACTAACCTCGTTTTGAAGTGATCCACCTCTCTGTTTAGCTTGCATTTGGTCTTATACACCCATTTAACTACTATAACTTTCTTTCTCTTAGGAAGAGAAATAAGCTCACATGTGCTATTTTTCCCAATAATATGAATTTCTTCATCCATTGATTTCACCCAATGTTTCTCCCAATAGACATCACCAAAAGAAACAGGATCACAATTTGCATATAAAGAAAAATTTATCAAATCCTCATCTGAAGGATCACTGTCAGTGCTAAAAACATAATCTTCCAATCTAGTTGACATGTGTCGTTCATGCTGTGAACACCTAGATGACTCTGGCTGCGGGGATTGAATAGATGGAGCCTATTCAACTGGTTGATTACCAACTGAATCATCTACATTAAAAGAAACAAGTGTGGCTGACTTGTCTTCCTTTTGGAACCAATCCTAAACACCTTGCTTATCAAAAGTGACATCCCTACTAATAATCATTTTTCCTGTGATGAGATTATAAGGCTTGTACCCTTTTGTAACTGAACTGTACCCTATAAAAATCCATTTAGAGCCACTACTATGAACCTCAAAGTGTATCAAATCACCCATAATGGGCTACCTGAGAGATTTTGAGAAGTGCATGTTAAACAAGAGATGAGGGAGACAAACAAATATACGGATCTATTGGCAAAAAATAGTGTATTTAGTAGTGATGATCTATGGATAGTTAATTATACTATTAAACAGTTGAACACAGATAGAATGAGTATGAACTAACACATATGCAATGTTTAATATATATTAAATACCTAAGTTACCAAAAGTAAAAATTTTGAACATCTTTACTATGACATCACCCTATAACAGTCCACGCAGGATTTTTGATAAATTAAAAGAAAATGCATAAAATATGGATTAAAACATATATTACCTTTACTTCGTGTGCATAATCCAATGATCAATTTTATTTCACCTACTCTATTCCATGGATAAAAACTCAACAATGAGGAATGCACAAAGACTATGATCTCTACGAGATGCACAAAAACTTTAATATTTTAAATGAGATGAGGCACAATAGGGCCGACCCTAGGCCTTGACCATTAAAATAGTCGCCTAGAGCCCCAAAAATTTAGGCTTCAAATTTAATTTTCAACCAATAGCTCAGATTCATGTTCTAAGAATCTTTTGAATAGACCAAGTTAAAGACATAATGTATTTTATAAGTCTATGTAAAGTCTTATAAACAGTCTTAAAATATAACAATATTTTCACAAGTCTATATAAAATCTTATAGAAAACTCTAAAAGTCTTTTAAAAAAGCCTAAAATAATGAATTGTAACTTTAAAAATAGTAATCTCTCAATTCATTTTTCTCTCTTTTCCTCCACTCTCACTACCTCTCATCAAGTATGTCTGTCCCTCCCACTCTCATTGCATTGGCTTGACTCTTTGTCTTTATTTCTAACTCTCTTACTCTCTTTTTAGGAATCATAATTTTTTTATTATCTTTCTAAAATATTGATTGGGGTGTTATGTAAAATTCTGGTTTTTGGCTCCAATTTGTGTTAGAGTCCACCATACTGTGTCTCCCCATTTTCACTATGCATGGGACGCTGATGCACACACGGTCCCACACAAACCACCCACCTCCCTCCTCTTCCAATGGTACCAAACTCCCCAAACAAACACAAACCATAACACATGTTGATATAAAAACACACACTACCACCTATAAAGGCAACCATCAGTGGAGCACCTCCCGTCGTACCTATCACCCACCATATGACCTTCCCGGTTTTATTTGCCTTGGCAGATGCACCACTCCTCCCCTATTTCACCACATCTATTAACGAGCCCAGACCAACCACTAAACAATTGAAGACTACGATCAAGTGAGCAGTGGTTCTTCTGTCAAATGAGCTACATTACTAAAGCTATTTTATGTTGCCTATCGAATGAGATACAAGTACTAAAACTATGAAAAGTTGCATAGGCAACATAACATAGTTTTAGTACTTATAGCTCATTCAACAGAATTTTGCCTACCATGCGCATGGGACTATGCAATCCTTTGGTGGTCATAAAGTAGTAGCATAAATTATTTTCTAGGCTTCATGGATGTAATGGAATTATTGACATACTAAAGGTGGAAACAAAGCCAGTGTTTTTCTTTTTGGTAAATTATATCCTAAAGCTAGTTCACTTTTCATTTGAATTTTTCAAGTCGTCGGGATATTTTTTTATTGTCTACATATTTGAGAGTTGTATGTTTTATTCTTTTATATTTGTGGTTCTATTCATCTTAATTTCTTTGTGTGCAAGATTGGAATTATGATCTCTTAAGAGAGTATATTCAATTTGACTATGATTTACAGTTTTATATATACTCAATTCAACAAAGGACTTATCCCAATTGTTTCGGGTCGGATACATGTATCCTATTTTGCCATTGTGTGCTATTAAGGATCTTAGTTTTTGTTAGACTATAGGTGATCATATCAGGAGCTGCTTAAGTCAATTTGAGGCTTAAAGCGAAAACATAAAATTGAGGTTATTTTATTTTTAGTATTTTTTTTTTAAAAAAATTAATTTATTTTTAATTTTCTATGTGAGAGGAAGACAAAAGAATGATGTATTAATATTGTCGAAAAAGAAATTTCAAATTTTGTTTTTATTTTAGTTTTTTTTTTTTACCACTGAGAGGGAGAGAGTGTTTAAACTTTTATTTTGTTTTTTATTTTTTTTACCAGAGAGAGAGAGTGTGTGGATGAGAGTAAATATGAGTTGACTTTTGAGTATTTTTTTTTTTTTAATTTATAAGTTGTTAATGTTATGGATTGG